ACCAAAGGTGAGTTTTCTGCTTCTTGGTCACCTCCTGCAAAATGAAACCCTGCTGTAGGGGTCCTACAGAGCTTTGCACAAACTGAAGCAGGAGGCTGAACTTTGAGACATGAGGAGTCCTGTGCAGACCAAAAGACCAGTGCTATTCAGGTAACGAGGGTCTTTCTGAGACATCCACACTGAATGTGTTCAGCTTCCTTTTATTCCTGTTTGACAAATGGACGAGCAGGTAGATTCTCGCTCCTCTGCATTAGTTTGTGGAAACAGGGGAGCTGCTTCTTTACAGCATTTCATTGTGAGATCTGGGTATTTGACTATTTTTCCAAGTTACACACCGGACCTGCACATAAAGCTGGTCAAAGCTGAACTGGACCTCACTGTGAAAACAGACCAAAGGGCGATTTCACACTTTTCAACCAAACCACATACGTTTACATAAAGCCCTGTGTGACACATCCGTCAAACCTGGACTAAGAACACGGTTTGTTATTCGCTGCTTGTTATTTTTAATGTGATTGTGTGTACTGATGAGAAACTGTGGGCTTTCTCCCTCTGACCCTCTGCTGCCTACAGCTGCCTGTGTTGATGTGCTGACGTCCTTTTTGCTCCCATGCAGCTGTGGGTGAGCTGCTGTGCTCTGCTCCGTCAGCCTCCGTCAGCTCCACCGAGCCATTACTACTGATGCTAAATGCAGAAGCAAAGTGGCGGCGGGTCAAGTGACTGTACGATGTCACGTGTCATGTACGAGGAGACCAAAAACCTGACGGTCGCTCTGACACAGCTTCAGAAGTGGTGTGCAGAGACGGAGAAGCTGCTGGAGTTTGTCAGACATCATGGGACTCTGAGAGCAGGAGGACGGGGGACTGGTCTGAACTGAGGGAAGAGTGAATACAACCACACATGGAGAGGTCCTGGAAGGAAACCTGAGACTGGGCCGACGCGTCACCTCATCCAGTGTAGATCAGTGAGCAAAGCTGGTGGTTTTATCCATGTACATTTAGATCTACAGAGCACCACTGTGGACTAGAGACGTACATCATGTAAAAGGTGGAGCTCTCTGCTCTTCATGACTTCATTCTGATGAGCCAGGGGGCCCAGGGGGCCCATGGGGCCGTTACCCAGAGGTCCCTGCCCTCCCTGCAGTGTTCGTGAAAACACTGAGTGGAAAAACAAATGTCTTGTGTGAGGCGCAAACAGTGCAAAGTACAGACTGTCATCCTGACTCTGCATCTTCTGAAGACGCTGTTCATCCTTACAAACCCCCCGAGACAAATCTGTGACTTGACTTTGGTCAAACTGAGGGGATGACACCCAGCGTACTGTAGCCGCTGAAGATCACAGTCTGCTCTTGGGTTCATGTGCATATATTGCAAAACCCTCCATGTCTTGCACAAAGCGTGTTCTGTTTAGCGTAGCTGCTTAGTTTCTGCTGAAAACACAGGCTGCTTCCTGCATCGTCACTCATGAGGTGCAGACTTTACTGGCCTGTACTTTGAGTTATCACAGTTATCTTCAACATGCCAACAACAAACAGTGGCTCCATGTGAAATGATTTGAGTTTCTCTCTTCTGTTATTAAAGACAAACAATCTGATTTTGTTACAGCACCTCAAATGCCTGCTCAGCTCGTTTTATCAGTGAGAGGAACATTTTGGATTTACAGAAACAAAAATCCCACAATGCATCTGTTCACTTTTGATTTGCTCTAGTTTAATATCATTTTCCAACATAATGACGGTGATACATTTTTATGTGCTCCGTGGCCTGTTTGGTGTTTCATAACATCTGAAATTAAATCCACAGCTAACATTTATTTTTAAAAACTTTCAAAGACCCTGGAGCTTTAGAAACGTGCACAGTTTTTGTTCTGCAGCTTCCTCCCCTCTCCTGGTGTCACTGATCGGGCTGAATCTTCCCAACTAGACTAAAATATCTGAATTCAGCTCAGCTGTCATTTTTCTTTTAAATGCATTTATGTTTAAAATCTGAGCTGCAGATTCAATTTGTCATTTTATCTTCCATAAAACTAAACCACCCCACTGGTCTAAAGCTCTCAGCACAATCAGGACCAGTTCAAATACTCACAGCAACATTTCACATATTATCACACACAATTCGTTTGTTGTTGGCATCAGCTTCAAATGTTCACACTCTTAATTGTAACCACGTAACAGGATGGAGCTCTAGTCCGAGGTTTTCTTACCTTGAAGTGAAACCTTCCTCCTGAAGAACCAGACCAGTCCGGTCTCACGGTGCCGCTGGTTTGGCTTTTCCTGGTGTCACTGAGCCGCACTTCTTCTTCAGCCTGCAGCCAAACTCTCCGTTATCAGCTGATTTAAACTTTAGTTCTGCCCTGTTCTGTGTCTGCACGTCAGGTTGAGTCTTTTTATAAAGTGCACGGTGAGCAACAGCCCGAGCCTCCTGCGTGCTCAGCGCAGCCGAGGATTTTATGCATCATGCTTTTACCAACAGAGACAGAAGCCTCTCCAAACTTAACACCCACCACCTCCAGCGCGCACACACGCACACACCTCTTTAGGCTGCCTGATCCCTAGATTTACGGGCTTAGTATTAAGAAAATACTCCTGCAATTTGGGATTAGACCCCAAAACCCTGACAACAACAATGACTCCGTCCATGTGATATCTTGATAGCAGCGATCCGTCGGGCCTTGGTGCCGTCGGCCCGCGGAGGAAACCACACATTTATTTCTGAAATGTATTTGTCTCTAAAAACCAGGCAATGGCTGTTTCAGATTAATGGGGAGAAGGTCATTTGGGTTATTTCACTTACTTGTTACTGCTGTTTTCAGGCCGATGTTGAACTGTGTTCATTGTCTAACTTTAACGGCAGGTTAAGATGTAAAATAACAAGGTTTTCTTTGGTTAATCCTGCATTTTGTTTACTGACAAATCAGATCATCATGTTTTAATTAGCTGCTCCTCATCTTTGAGATTTGTTCTTTATTTTTCTGAATCACAGGGTTGAAGTTGTCAGAATGGCCGAATGTTTCTGTCTCCATCTTAACTTTTCACACAAATCTCCATCTGCGCCGTGATATTTAAAATGAAAACTACAACTAAAATAATTAAGTTTGTCCTGTTATGGACCTGATGGCAACTTCAAATGACCACGAAGTCAAAAAGCACATTTTATGCTGTTGAAGATAAATGTGTATGTTTTATTCTAGTTGTAGGGGGAAAATCTAATTTCTAATTTCTTCTGTTCTGTTCTATTCTTCTGTCTTCATGTCGTTGTGTGTTGTTTTAGCACAGACGTTGAACTAAAACACTGCTGTCATCTTCATGATGCGTCTTTATTTGGAACATTTCTCCTTAAATTAGCAGATGAATGCTCCACTTTCTGGCAGCGATGGCGTCCGAGCGCTTCTCTCCCAACTTTCTGACCCAAACTTTACACTCTGGTCACGTGGGGCGCGTTCCAGTCGAAGGGGGCGGGTGTTTCGGCGACATCCTCGCGCGCTGATTGGCCGTTCCGCTCGCCTGTTAGGCCTCGGAGCGCTGTGATTGGCTCCGCCCGGTCAACAACCCGGGGTTTTTCCAGCTATACAG